TGCAGCTAAGAAATCCAAGAGAGGAAAATGCGCCATTTAGAAAGACTCCTCTCCTCCAACCTGCCAGGGTCAGCGTGGCCAGAGGCCTGATTTAACTTGCGTAGCAAGAAGCAAGGAAGTGCCTGGAAGTTTTGGCAGCTGTGAGAATGAAGAGGAAAATAGCAATCTTGCTATCTGCACATTTCTTTCAGGAATATTGACCTCAGTGGAGTTTTCTTTTTTTTAAGATTTATTTATCTATTATTTTAGGGAGAGAGAGCAGGGGGAGGGGCCGAGGGAGAAGGAGAGAGAGAATCTCAAGCAGATTCCCTGCTGAGCATGAAGCAGGATGTGGGGCTCGATCTCAGGACCCTGAGATCATGACTGGAGCTGAGATCAAGAGTCTGCCGCTCAATTGACTGAGCCACTTAGGTGCTCCAACCTCAGTGGAGTTTTGAGATGCTCCCAGGATTCATTCATTCATTCATTCATTCATTCACTCATCCTTTCGTGCACTCAGCAAACATGTATTCATTGGCTCTGAGCCAGGAAATGTGATGATCAGCAGGAACACAAAGATGAACCAAATGGAACCCTTATATTGTGTGTGTAGGTGTGTGGGTGTGTGGGTGTAAGCAGATGACAGGAAGGTGCAATGTGTTCTGTGACAGAGGGAACCCATGATTATGGGAACTAGGGGTGAGCCTTCCAAATCAGATTGGTGCCATTCAAACCTTTTCAGAAGAGGCCAGTCTTAAGCTGAGTTTTGAAGAATGAGTAGGGGTTGGCCAAATGCAGAGAAGGGGCAGGGTGAGAAAGGCATCTGAAGCAGAGAAAGCCATGTGTGCAATGACACAGAGCATGAAGCAGCTTGGGGACTGAGGACTGCGAATCATGCTGTAACAGGGGGAGTCACAGGGAACAGGCTGGATGGGCAGGGAGTAGTCAGATCTAAGGAGTTTGAGTCTTACTCTGTAAGATGTGGAGAGATGCTGGTGAGGTTGTGTAGGAGCATCCAAAATCAGATGTGCATTTCAGAAAGATGACCTCATATCAGTGTGACTAGTAAATGGAGGGATGAAACTGAAGGCAGTCCTGAGTTACCGCAGTGGTCCTGGGATAGAGGGAAGATGACTGGAAACTCGTGAATTAAACTGCAAAATGGTAACCCATTGAATACGGATGAGGAGGGAGGCGAGGGGTCAAGGATAACTCCTGGGTTTATGCTCCTTGGGCAGCACAGTGGGTGTCACCCTATAAGAGAAAGAAGCAGGAAAATGAAGTATTTATTGAAGGGGAAAGAAGAATTACCAAGATTGCTCTTGGCCTTGTTGAGTTTTAGGTGCCCCGGGCATTTTTGGGAGGAGATACTCTGTAGCAGTGGGAATCCTGGGTTTGGAGCGAAGGAGCTCTAAGTGTGGGAGCCCTCAGCAGGAGCCGGTAGCCTTGGCAGGAGAGAGTAAGCATGGGGCAGACTTGGAGTGAAGAGGCCAGAAGGGTAGGACACAACTGTGGGGAGTGGGGAAGGAGGACCCATGAAGGAGGCTTTGCAAGGCTGGCCAGAGAGCTGCATTTGGTGACTGAAATATGCCTGTTCTGTTCTCCAGTTACATTGCCATGTAACAGAGCCTTGGTGACTTCTGTGTTCACCAGAACAGCCGTCCCCCCTTATCCGTGGTTTCGCTTTTTACGGTTTCAGTTACCCATGGTCAACTGCTGTCCAGAAGTAGATGATCCTCCTTGTGACGCATTGTCAGAATGTCAATAGTGACCTGACACCATGTCACTGTGCCCATGTCATTCACCTCATCACATAGGCATTTTATCAGCTCAGGCATCCTGCTAAGGGTGACACAGTAAGATATTGTGAGGGAGACAGAGAGACCACATTCACATAACTTTTATTATGGTATGTTGTATTATTGTTCTATTTTATGATTAGTTATAGTGTTAACATCTGGCTGTCCCAAATTTATAAATTAAACTTTATCGTAGGTATGTATGCATAGGAAAAATCATAGCATATATAGGGCTTAGTACTATTCATGGTTTCAGGCATCCACTGGGTTACTTTCCTTCTTTTGCTCTCACCTAAGAACACAGGCAGATGCTCTTGGCAATGGAGGGTCCTAGATAACCCCTCTTGTGAGCTCAATGACTTGGGTAAAGTCCAATGTCCTCGGGACTGGTTGGCATCAGTGGCCAAGGGAGGGAAAAGCAAGGATGAGCTGCGTCACTCTTCTGGGTGGCTGCTGGGCAGAGGTGTAAGTGAGTGTGGAAGCTAGAGCCCAGAGCCAGAGGTGGCCATGAGACCACAAGCTGCAATTGTCCATCCCAGACATTTGAAACAATTAACCCAGTGGCGGAGGGGCGGTGTGATGTAGTGGGCAGGTAAGTGCCATGGTTTTGGGGTCAGATCTCCCTGTTACGCTTTCTAACAGCATGACTTTGGGCAACATGTAACATTAACCTCTTACATCTCAGTTCTCTGTCCTACATAATTGCGAGAATACATAGTTCCCAGATCTCCCGGGATACAGATCTCCCTTCTGAAGATCAAAGCAGGCGAAGCGTATCTGTATGAATCCCTCAGCATGGCGCTTGGAACGCAGTAGCAGGTGTTCAGGAAATGACAATCGCCTTCTCTTTTCCCTGCTTTTCCTTGTCCCTGGCCAGAGGCACGTGCTGCCTGCAAGGGATTCTGAGACTTGCGGCTGGGACCTACACTCAAGTTCAGGAGGTAGATAAGCAGAAGGAGGGTGTTTCAGGAAGAGGAGCTGCCCGAGCGTAAGCAAAGAGCTGTGGAAGGTCATGGCAGGCCTGGGAGATGACAGCCAGGCAAGTATGTTGTAGTAGTTGTAATGGTGTCATGAAAACTTGTGAGACCTGAGTCCGGAAACATACACGGGGGCCAGATTTTAAACAGCATCAAAACTCCATCAAGGAGTTTCACTGTATCCTGTAGACAATGGAGAGTCATGATAGGTCTGGAAATGGGGTGATGCCACTACATCAGTGCCTTAGAATCATTGTTTCTTGACCTCTTCCAACAGGCAGCCGTGCTTTGACTCTGCCAGTGAAACTCTTATGGAGGAGTTTTAGCACCTTGATGGCTTAGGGGGACATAAGCACTAATGGGGGTCTGGGCTTCCCAGGATTCTCACCCACAGGAATTAATAAACTGCTTATAGTGGAGATTCCATTGCCAGAAAGCCAGCTGACCACCACTGTGTCAGAGCCTGAGAACTTTGATAACAGATTGTCGACATCCACTGGTCTAAAGCTGAGTAGATATCTATGCCTTCATCACCTTCACCATTTTCCTCAAGATGCCTCTTTGTGAGTAGGGAGGAAAGGTAACTCACTATGTGCTTATTATATGCCAGGCTCTGTGCTAGGCCTTTTTTTCCCCTGGATTCTGGGCTTTAATGCTCACAAACACATTCTGGGAGTGATATTGTCTCCCATTTTACAACTGGAACACTAAGACTCAGAGAGAGATGGATGAAGCCATCTGTTCTCAGTCACTCACACTATCCATGAAATCAGAATTCAAGCTCAGGGCTTTCTGATTGTGAAGGCCTTGATCTCTTTCCACTTCTATTCCATCCACTCTCTCCTTTCCTTCCTTCCTTCCTTCCTTCCTTCCTCTTTCCTTCCTTCCTTCCTTCCTTCCTTCCTTCCTTCCTTCCTTCCTTCCTTCCTTCTTTCCTTCCTTCCTTCCTTTATTATGCAAGGATAAAATTAATTAATTAAATTCTAATATAGTTAACATACAGTGTTTCATCATAGTTTCAGGTGTACAATATAGTGATTCAACAATTCCATACATTACTCGGTACTCATCAAGATGAGTGTACTCTTAATCCCCTTTACCTATTTCACTCATCTCCCCATCTATTGGTCTCAATTTTCTTATCTTTTAATTTTTTTTTTTTTGGGAGAGAGAGAGTGAGAGCAAGGAGGAAGGGTGACAGAGGGAGAAGGAGAGAGAGAATCTTAAGCAGGCTCCATGCCCAGCCTGTAGCCCGACATGGGGCTGGATCTCACACCCCTGAGATCATGACCTGAGCTGAAATCAAGAGTTGGACTCTTAACCGACTGAATCACCCAGGAGCCCCAATTTTCTTATCTTTTAAAGGGGATTGGAGGAATGGACAGTTATACTCATAGGGCTGTGCTGAGGTTCAGAGCAAATAGTGTATGCAATGCAACTAGGGCTCTTCCTCCCACCTAGTACATTCCAGTAAGCAGCAATACTAAGATCTGGCAATTTTTCTGCACATCAGTTCAGTGTGATTCACATCCAGGGGCACCCGAGTGCTGAGATATACAGATGTTACATTCTGTAGTGTAACAAGTATTAGATCGAAGTCTGAGCAGTCTGGTACAATCTTGCATCAGCCACCTGCCAGATTCAGAAACATGGATGAGACACTAAATCATTATGTCTCAGTTTCTTCATCTGTACAGTGGGAGCTTAATCCTGACCCTTGTTCCTCATGCCCATCTCACAGGACTGTTTTGAGGATCAGTGAGCTGATGTCTGTGCAACAGCTGTGCGCATGGAAGTGGTTAATAGTTATACAAAAGGGGCACAGGACCCTATCCCCATGCCGGGGGAAATTTTGGTGTGGTTGGTGACATTACACTCTCAGCTATGAAACTCTTGGGCACAACATTGGTAGCACGTGAGGACCAGAATTATGCTACGGACCACCCTTGAGAGTATGGCTGATGGCCTCCTGCTGGTGTGGACCTTATTTGGATTTGTTGCATCCTCATTGCACACGGAGGCAATCAGCTAAACTCTAGAGGAGATTTTTGCTTTCAGGAAACAAATTCAGTTCCCATATTGGAATTCTCAGGGTCTGCCTGAAGTCTTGGCTGTCATTTGAGGATATTTCTGTGCATGGAGATCTTTTCGAAGAGCCTGCCCACTGGTTCTCATCTTTTCCAACTGCTCAACATTTTAAGGGGGAAGGGAGAGTAGACTTCCCATTGCTGAGCACTACATGTGAGGGTGGGGTTAGGCTGGTTGCATCTATTTTTCTACTTCATCTTGACCGTAACTTTACCTGCAGCCATTACTGTCATTTTGCAGACGAAGAAATGAGGCTCAGAGAGGTTGCGTAACCTGCTCACGTGCTCAAGGGAACAAGTGCGGAGCTGGTAAGCAGAGTTGCTGGGATTTAAGCCAAGTATATGATCTTGCTTCTGTGTTCAACTCCGTATTTCCTTGCAGAAGACTCTCCGTCCCTGCCCCTTGAAAGACCTTACACTGCTGTTGACTCGCATGGTTTCTGGTTTGTACCTTCTCTGAGCATGACCCCCTAGATGGCTTATAACATGCCCTGTGTGGTTGGCTTATGTGTGGTATTTGTAAGGTTGGTTGTTTCCTGGGTGGAGGAGGGGGAGAGTTTAGTTTGCTTTTCTAAACAGGTAAGATCCCTGAGGGTAGGATGTTTATTCAATCAACAGATATGAGTTGTGTACCTACTATGTTCCAGACACCATCTTAGGCACTAGAAAAATAGTTATGGACAAAATAGACACTCTGCTGTTTTCCCGAGACTTATATTTTGGTCAGAAGATAGACAATTTAACTAACCAAAAGTTTACCAACTATTCAGCTAACGAGCATGTACCATTTGCTAGAGGATGGAAACTACCATGGAGAAAACAAACAAATAAGTGAACAAACAAGAAAGGGAATGGAAGTATCATTGGGGAAGGGGTTTACAATTTACAAGGGATGTTCAGAGGCAGCCTAGCTGTAAGGTGACATTGGAACAAAATGTGAAGGTGATAAGGGATAGGAAACAGAAATAATGGGAGGAGGAGTCTAGGAAGAGTGTTCCAGGTGGAGGGAATGACAAGTGCAAAGACCCTGAGGTAAGAGGTGCAGGTCTATTTACGGAGTGGTGACTTGGATCGAATGGGGCAGTGGTAAGAGGTGATAGGGCGAGGCAGGTGATGGGGAGCTCTGGGAGGACATGAGTCATTCTGTTGAATTTGTCTTTTATTATGAATGAGATTGAAAGTTAGAGGAGGGTTCTGAGCCCAAGAAAGACATGACTCCAGTTATATCTTAACAGGGCTGCTTTGCAGGGAAAAGCCAGAAGTCAGGAAGGAATTGCAATAACCAAGGCAAGCGGTTAGTGCCTAGGATCAGATCTGCCCATGTTCTTTGGAATGCACTGTCCTTCTACAGCTCATGGAAGAGCGCTTGGCAGATTGTAGGTGCTTGATAAACGCTTGCTAAAACCAGAGCGCAAGGAAGGCAGTGTAGTGTCATGTCTGAAGGGGGTGGGCATTACTGTGGGAGTTCAAACCTCAGCCTTGCTGCTGTGAGGTGCCCTGCTATGTGTGACCTTCTATCTCCGTGCCTCAGGTTCCCGAAGTGAAAATGGGAATGATGACAATGTCAAGCTTGCAAGCTTTGTGTGAGGATTGCACGTATGTCATGTGCTTAGAAGAGGCCCCGGCCCATAGTCAGTGGTCAATAAATACCAGCAGTCACTGAGGCAAGAGCAGAGGCTTTATGTTCTGTGCATTTGTTGAAAAGCGAAGGGAAATGGTGAGAGGAAAATACTAGAAATATTTGTGCAGTATTTGGAAATGTGTGACATCCAGAGTATTTTTTTTGCTATGTTTTCATTCAAGCAATTGCAATTTTTGTCTACCATCATTTTTCTTTCCTGTTATGCCATCAGATTTTCTTTTTGGTGACATAAGTTGCAAATATGCTCCTGGTCCAATCGGGTGGGAATGGGGATATGGGTTCTGTTCTCTGCCTCTGCTCCTCCATGTGGAACAGCCTGCTGTCTCTCCCTTTTGATCAGGCTTCATGGCAACCATAGAATAAAGTTTATTGCTAATGTTATTAGTTTCTAATCAGAGCCCACTGTGATTATTACCTAATAGTTATTGCTTTGCACTTCCAACCAGATGTCAAAAATAATAAGCCAATAAAACTGCTATTAATTTAGTCTGCATGACAATTTTAGGCCCTCAGAGCTTGAGATTCGGGGCCTCATAAAAGCAGGGCACAAATAATTTGAGTGCTCAAAAGTAATAACAAAAATGGTGAGAATATGAATTAATACGTTAAGTGTTTCTAATTTAAAAATGAAATGTGTGGCTATGAATACCAACATTTCTCATGTGCTTTTCTAGGCTGAATGGAGCCGTCCTCCCAGATTCCATCCTGCAGGATTTGGGCAGCATGGCTGAGGGAGTTGGCTCTTTATAGGAAGAAGATATGGTGCTACCGTAGATCTGTTTGGTTCTCATGAGAGAAGAGGACCAGGTCTGCAGGGGCCTGGAAGAGGGGTCTCCTGGAATCATGGAGAACTCAGTGAAACCTGTTGGTGCTGCTGCCAGGCTCTGGGATGTTCTGATGGACCCCTGCCTGCCCTGACACACACCCCATTTTAGGGAACCATCCTCTTTCTACTCATGCCCTCTGTCATCCTGTGTACTGTGGGGTGTGGGAGGCTTGTGTTCAAACCCTAATTGCCCCTCTATCTGAGGGAATGATCTGGAGCATCATCTCTGAATCTGAGTTCCTGAGTCTCAGAAAACAGCAACGTTAATAGCACTTACCTCACAGGATTACAGTTGAGCGTTCGAAGAAACAACAGAGGCACCTGGGTGGCTCAGTCTGTTAGGCTCAGTCTGCCTTCAGCTTGCATCATGATCTCAGGGTCCTGGAATCAAGCCCCATATCGGGTTCTCTGCTCAGCAGGGAGTCTGCTTCTCCCTCTCCCTCCGCTCCTCTGTCAAATAGATAAACAAAATCTTAAAAAAAAAGAAAGAAAGAAAGAAACAACAGATAAAAGGAGCTTAGCGCAGTGCCTGGCACACAAATGAATTGGATAAGAAATCACTGTTCCTTAAATGATGCAGATGCTCTCTTTCCCCTTCATTTTGCTCATTCATTCCTTCTATTCGTTGGTGGTACTTGAAAAAGTCTGCTTTTCCCCTTCCCCCATCCTCTTGTGCATAAGCCTTGCCCTGTTTCCTTTCACTTTGCTGCGGTATTTTCAAGACAAATATGCATTTCACAAACACATACCATGGCTCATTTTGGTGGTAGGGGTGTCGGCACAGGGGCTTAGGCTCAGTCAGTGTTTCAGGCTCCTCATGTCTGGGGGCTGTAACAGAGGAGACCCCGAGCACACCAGGGGGAAAGGGGTGATGTGGGGCCTGACCCTGAGAAGATGTTGCCACAGACACACAAGCTGATTGTTCTCCAATGGCTACTTTTTCAGATACACTCCATTTCCTAGCACATGGATTGTGGGAAGAAATGGGGTAGAGCAGCCTCTCTTCCCCGTGGGCCCAGCCCCTAACCCCTCCCTCCCTGTCCTCCAGGAGTCTCTTCCTTTGCCTGCGGCTGGCTGCAGGATATATAGTTGAGTACTTTGGAGCCTGGGGATGTCAAGCCACTGGATGAGAGGCGCCTTATCCCTGAATGACCTCTTCAGTCACCTGCACTGAAGGGTGAAGGCACTGAGATTTGGGGCTGTTTGTTACAGCAGCTGGGCTTCCCTGACTCATACACATGGACGGGACCTTGCCAAGCAGGTGAGCAGAAGGAGGGCACTGCAGGCCGAGTGGGCAGCATGAGTGCAGGCGTGGAACAATGTGCTCTGGGAGCTGAAATCGGTCAGTGTTCTAAGATGATCTGCGGGAAGGCTGGGGGCAGAGAAGGGTGGCCGCAGAAGGGACGGAAGGGTTGTGCCTGTCATTTAGGATTACACAGTAGGCAGCAGGGACAATTGGAGAGTGCTAAGCAAGAGCTCGGACCATCCTTTCGCTTTAGGGATGCTGTTCTGGGGGCAGTCCTCCAGGGAGGGTGGCTGAGGGTGGCACAGGGACTTGTCCCAGGCTGATGGATGAGGAGGCTTGCCAGATGACCCAGGGGAGACAGCGTGGAAGCCTGGATCAGGAAAATGGCAGTAGAGGCACAGATGGAGCTGGCCAAGTAGCTGTTTAAGAGGGTGAATGTACAGGACTTGGCCATTGAGTTGAGCTGGAGGTGTGGGGAGGGAAACACCTACTTGTTTGCTCTCCCTTTTTATATCCTCTCCCCCCACTCCCCTTTCATAATGACACTGGCTGTCAGAGTGTGAAATTTGGTTCTTGTTTTCCGGGTGCTTTCTTGCTTGTCACAGAACGTGCTGATCCATGCTGATACCTGAGCAAACACCACCTTGTCTGTCAACAAAATCACTCGTGTCCTGGCCTGGCTCTGCTGTCACCGGGGTGCACCATGTGTGGATGGAGACGGCATCCACATGCATGTTCTCTCACTTCTGCCTCCCTTGCTGGGACCCCCTCCATGCTTCGATTCTTCCATTAGTGGACCTGAGGGATTAGGCTTGTCACCCACTCTCTCACAGGTGGATGGTGGGCATTGAGTCGTTCCTTCAATTGAGCCTGTTAGTAAATTCATCACAAAACAAGAAAAGGGGAAATTATTTTAAATTGATTCGAGTAGAATTTTAACATGTTCGGCACAGCCAACTTTGTGCTCAGGTTTAACACTTGGTGTGTTAATTGAGTTGCCAGTTCGGCCAGATTATCCTGTTAAAGTAGAAATCAATATTAATATTTCCTCCTCACTGTTAACCGTCTTTCTAGAACCGGGATTTTTCTTCCCTTCTTCTCCCTCTATGACTTTGTTACCTTTGCGTTTCTAATTGTGTCTGGAATTGATGGAGTTTTTTGTTTTTTTTTTCAAAAACACAGGCGGTTTGTGATGATGCTGCATTTCCCATCATGTCTGGGATCAGTGTTTGTAATAGATTTGCTTTTATGCCCGGCTCCTGAAGAGCATTCTCATTATCTGATAAGAGAAGCTGATGTCCAGTAGCCTTCTGAGGTAATGAATCCTTTTCATTTGTTTGCTCGCATGTCCAGGCTGATGGGAGGTTGGGGGGAGCTTGTCTGACATACATCTTGGGGGAGAGCTTTACTGGCCACTGGCAAGGTCCCTATGCTGCCCACACCATCCACTCGGGACCACCGACCTGTGTTGTCAGCCCTCTCTTTCGGGGCCACGTGTTCATCGTCTGACAAGGTATGTGTGCTCATCTGTGTCCCCTGGGATGTTCACTCATGTGTGTTCCGCCCTGTGTGGGGCACTGGGGTGCTTCAGTCTGCGTGTATCACTGGTGCTTGTGCCAACAAGGACTCTCGTTCCTTTTCTCATGCTCCTTATTGAGTGTTGTCAGGGATTTTATTATTCCCTCTAGGAACGGCTCTCGATTGGTTAGATGTAAAGTCCTCAGCGTGCCATATAAGGTCCCCTGTAATCTATCCCTGCTTATCTCCTTGGCCTCATCTCTAGCCCCTATAACGGGGGCCCAAGTTGGAGTTATGCAGAGCTGCTTGTAATTTCCCGAAGACACCTTGCAGAGCTGCCTTGCAGTGCTGTTCCACCTCCCCAGAAAGCCCTTCCCCTCTAGCCAGCCCTCCAGGCTGAGTCTGAATAGCCCTTCTGCTCAGAAAGGGCCCCTGCCTTGCAGAGGACTTGCTTCGTTTCTCCCTTTAGAGCCCTTGTTTGTCTTTCCCTCCTCCCCCACCAGACATGGAGTTCCCTGGGAGTTAGGGCTCTATCTTGCCCATCTCTATTGCTCCCACCTAGCATGCAGCCTGGCGTGGAGACGCGCTCCATCACGGCTGGCTGCGGGACGTCTTTTCACGTGTATTATGGTAACCCGCCCCTATGGTAAGTACTTCCGGTGCCTCGCTTCGCTCCATCCGCAGCACACCTCTGTGAAGTAGGTGCTGTTCTTTTTTTTTTTTTTTTTTAAAGATTTTTTTTTTATTTATTTCTTAGAGAGGAGGTGGGAGAGAAACAACATGAGAGAGGAGAGGGTCAGAGGGAGAAGCAGGCTCCCCGCTGAGCC